CAAAAGAATGAAACACCCAAAAATGCTATATTTTATACATTCTGATGTATTGGTATTTAAAAAATTTGCTTATTTATTTGACTGCAAATATCTCTCATGACTTGAAATTTTTTTGCTATTTGTGAAATAGAATGTTACAAAAGAGTGAAAGGATATTGACAGCTAATAGTTCAGGTTTATTAAAAAAGCGTGCTACACGAAAAATTGTGTTATTTCATTACATAGTCAGAGTTGTCTATCCAAATCATGCGATATAAGGATTTTATACTTTTTCTTCGAGAATTTTTTTCAAGTCTACGGTTTATATTGACTAGCTCACATTATAAAAACATTTTACCGCTTGATAAGTAAGGATGACCATCAAATAGTGTTCCGATCACTGACCGTAAAAAATAAATTTATGCTAGTAGAACTATAATGATCCTAAAAATGGTAGTAAAAATATGGCAACTTGCCGTACCAGGGAAGGAATACCCATTAGGTCAGACTAGACCATGAACTGGTGCCCCCCATGATTAGGGGCCCTAAAATGGGTTTTTTGAAAATAAATTTTGAAAAATTATAAAAAGCAATGATTTTGCAAATTTTTTCAAAATTTTATGATTATTTTTTAGTTCTAATTTAATGAAACAAAGTAAAATTTAACTTATTATTATTTATTTTAATTTTAAATATGCTTTCTTAAATAAAAAGATACATAAATACTTTTGTATTTGAATTAATAAAAAATATACAAGAAAAAAATTTACTCTAAGGGCCCCAAAAATTTGAATGTCCCAGTAGCTTAATCCGGCCCTGGGTCGTACATTAACATTATGTTCGTAAAAGTTATATTCAACTCGGGATTTCACGTTAATTTTTCCCAGGAGATTTTTAATTGAAGGAATGCGAACCTTCGATTGAAATGAAGTAGTATATTGCCTTTATCTATTGAGATGTGAAAAAGGTGCGTGTGGAAGGAGTGAGATGAAGATTTTAATTGTTGCTGGCTTGGATCGATCCTGGACCTTTGTGTTCGTAGTCTAATGGTGTAATCATCATTCAAAGGGGATGCTTCCCAAAAGCGATTTAGAAAGCTTTAGTAACTGTCTATTGTTACAAGCAACTCTACAAATTTTTCAAAAGTTCGTTAAAATTACGATCACTGAGCGTTTCTTTTTTCATAAAGTAGGTAGCTGTCATATGAATAGACGGTCTACTCTATTCACCTGACCAGCTATAAGATTCATATAGCTAGATTCATATTACAAAAAAAATTCACAACTTTTAATGCAATAAAATTCTTTTCTCGATATGAAATTAATTTTTCCAAAATTTTAGAACAATAAAATTTCCAAATATTCGAAGAAATTATAGTATTATTAAGTTGAACATTTTTTCACTTATTTTCTCTAATCTATTTCAATTTGTCTAATTTTTACGATTACAGACAAAGGATTTCCAAGTGCTTTCTCCGTAAAACGACTTTGCATGTTTCCAGGGAAAAAGTTCATTGGAATATCACAGCTTGTTTCTGACTCACCTTGCGTGACTACAGTAGCACATTTAACTTTGGACAAAACATGGCTGTCTTCCTGCATTCTTTTTCGTTTGAACATTGTTGACTGTCCTACTTATTATCTATGTATGACTGGCCGGGATATGACTGCTTTGCATTTGGGCTAGTGCGGTGCACTACCTTCCGGCTTTATCCAAAATTGAAGAGTCCATGGTGTAATGGCCTGGCTGTCAAACCACTTGCATTTGATAATAATAATAATAACAGTTATAGTCAATTCCTTTATGCTATCTTCAGAATTATATATATAAATATTTAGTTGCATGGTTCTTTTTATTTGATACAGTAGCTTGCTATGCTTGAAGCTCTAAATATCCCATAATACATTTTAGTTAATAGTGCATGATTTCCTTTTCTTTCTTTCCTTTTTTTTAAAAAAAAGTACCTTTTTTAAAGGTTAATGGTTGAATATAAATTACACGTCTACATAAAATTGTGATTCAAATTTGTTCATTTAAAAACAAAGCAATCAGTTATGGTTTTTGGAGTTCCACTAATTTGTGTTCATTCTTCAAAATCAAAAAAATAAGAAATATTAAAGTAAATAAATAATTTGTTTGTTCATAAATAAATTATTTGTTTGCTCATAAATAATTAATTTCGAGAAAAAAGGGCACACTTAATTAATATTCTTTTCCAATGCCCACCTGGGGAAAGACGTACGTTATACAGGCATCTGAATGGCAGATTTGTCGGCCACTCTTTCAGGGGCACCATATTAGGTGGACCAACGTTGCTCCCACAGTAAGGACAGATAGTACAGAGAAGGAAAGAACATCCATTCCCTGCCCGGAATTCGAACCCAGAACCTTTCTGATGCAAGGGCAATTCCCTAGTCCCTACACAGCCGGTCTGCACTTAATTAATATAAGTCAGACGCATTGCTCCGAGTAATTTTCAAATTAGCAAAGTGTTCTTCATTATTTTCCTTAACTAACTTGCTATAGTTCTGAGACTTGTTTTTTTGAGTTCCATTAATATGTGTTTATTTTTCAAAATCAAATGAATAGGAAACAATAAAGTTAGTAAATAAGTTGTTCGTTCATAAATAAATAATGTATTTGTTCATAAATAAATTATTTGTTTGATTATAAATATATAATTTCGAGAAAAAGGGTGTACTTAATTTATATGAGTCAGACGTACTGTTTCGAGTAATTTTCAAATTAGCGAAATGCTCTTCATTGTTCTCTCATCTAACTTGCTGTAGTTCTGAGACTTGAAAAAAGCATTGGAATTATTTAGAATGAGTGTTAATTTGAAGAAAAGCTTCAAGTACTAATAAAAATAAAGCAAACTATATTAGCATATCTGAGAAAAATTTACGTGGTTGCATAATGAGAGAGAATTTTAAAAATATAATGAAATAATTGTCCTGTAAATCGTACGATGCTAAGTAATAAAGTTTTAAAATTATGACGTTGGAACGATATATCAGATACTGAAATATTTTAGGGCTTAAAATTTTTTACATACGCATTCTTCAGCTCTATATGATCGGCATCACAATATCCGTTTTAATGATTTTTAAGACATCAACACAATTTCAGATAATGATTGTTGATGTCAAGGAGTGTGGTTCAAGAAAATATAATTTTTTCAAAACTTATGTTTTCATTTCAGTCACTATTACTAAGCCTGAAAGCGTCGCTGGGGTCATTTTGATTATTTTTCGCCATTCCTGATGTTGTTTTTGAAGATACACTTAAGCTTCAAGGCTCATATTTTTTTGACTTTTTATAAATTATTTCAAAGTATACTCTATTAAAATTTAATGCATTTATGCTGATCAGTAAAATAAATAATCTAGAAATACATATTACAGCCAAAAGGGTCGTTTTGACCCTCTTAAGTAAAACATTCATTTTTGTAGTTACATGAGTGTTTTTGAATTTGCACGACTGCAAAACTTGTAAAGGTGATTTGTAAAACAGAAATCGATGTTAAGTATGTTAAAAATAATATACGCAATAGCCCCCGTTTAATTATATGGTATCTTAGATTCAGTGTTCAAAGAAGCTGTTGAGCTCTTGTTGAATTGCATATTCATTATTACGTTTAAAAGAAACCATCTACATCTTGATTATTAATATTTAATTTTGTTATAATCCAGGACAGGAAAAAACTGTTAGTGAATAGTTACTGCTATGTAAACCAAAATACAAATTTATGCCATGACGAATAAATGACGAAACAAAATACGAATCTACCACATGACTAATTAATTGGCATATATGCGATCACTCCCAGGAGACATTAAGATTGAAACACATTAGGAGACATTCGTGAAAATCCAATCATTAGAACAAAAGTTAGTCATTTTGATATCTTTTTTTTCAACTTGAATCTTAGTATCGGTAACGTGACTTTCTAAAATCTTAATTAAGCCATTTTTTCCTTTCAAGTTAAATCAAGTTTCAGAGAATCGTGTAATCAAGTTTAAGAGCTGCTATAATAAAATTAGCACTAGTTTAGACGTATTGCAAATTTGAACAAAAATTTGGCTCCACTCCATATATTAACATTATATAGCTGGATTAAAAAGCAGCGATATATATATATATATATATAAAATATTAAAATATTTCATTCTAATGAGAAGAATAAAACAAATATGCAGTTTTCTTATACGACATAGAAAATTAACAATCTTNTAATTTCTACCACACCGCAATTGCATTCATTTTTAGAATATTTTAATGGCATTTTTTTATATATATATATATATATATATGGTGAAATGAGATTTTTGTTATATATAAACTAATAAAATTAAATCATTCGGGCAGACTTTTCTGGTAAGTGAATTATCAATTGTCACATATAACAAAAATCTCATTTCACCATAACAAGCAATAAATTTTATTTGATGGCTAAATCACCCCTCCTTTATCCCAGCTCTTTTCACATCATAAAAAATATTGTTTCTGTATAGGGTGGTTGTGTAAATAGCAAAATCCTTAATATCCCTTCCTTCAGCCGAACCACATTAGCACGCCTTTCCATCTAACTCTTCTCATTCCTCCCAAAAGGGAAAAAACAAGGGGAAAAAAAGCACATCAACGGCCATAATATAAAAAATCTGCAACCAAAAGATAAAAATATTAAGGACAAAGGGATTTGGCCAAGGAAGGGGGGATACGCTGTAGAGAAGGTGCAGTACCGGAACGGATGGGGATATAAATAACACCCCCGAGTTCGTTATCCAACTGCCCCTCCTTGGCTATGCCTTTCTTCGGTAGTATCGAAATAAGGAAAACAAACAAAAATACAACATACCCCCTTTTAAAAAAATATCCCATCATACAATGTCCCCCCAGCCGGTCGTTTCAGTTGCGGAGATGTGAAAGAGGGGTGCCCTAACCTGTCTGCGCATGCGTGGTGGATGGTGATGATCAGAGGACATCCCCACCTTCCGCATCTCAGATAGGAAAGTCAGAAACAGTGGTGGCGGGATCAACATGTTAGAGAGTGGCGGACGGTCACAGTTAAGTTGAAAAGGGAAAACAGGGAGTTTTCGGTTTTGTGATAGTTTGTTTCGGGACGTGCTAGTTAAAAGAAAACGTCCCGCGCCATCACGTCAGCGTTTAATGGGGTAAGATATATTGTGTTCACTTATTATTTTTAGCAGAAGTAGTATATTTTCAGGTAAATATTTCAGTGTACTGGATTTTATTTATTTATTTAGCATATGAATGTAATTATGCAATTTTTTTTTCAGAACATTCTAACAATAATAATAATTCTACTATTAAGCATCTAATTTAAAGTTGTGAAAAATACTATAAATAAGATTATTTTCAAAGCAATATGTTGTGTCTAAAATAAATAAGTGGTTAATGCGCAATATGCTATTGGTCATATTTAAAAGATGAAGCAATTCTTCGGAAACGTCCCGTACAGTGACGTTAGTATTTAATGGAGTTAGATATTATTATTATTTTTGACAGATATAATGTATTATGAACGAAAATTACAAAGAGTAAGATTCCTTTATTTATTTGGTACTTAAATGTGATTATGTATAATTTGTGTCCAGTTTATTTAAGTAGTGTTAAACGTTTGTTTAATACTATTAAGATGAAAATTATTTAGACTATTAAACATTTCAAGATGAGGTTAATACGCAATATGTTAATATATGTGTTTGATAAAAAATTTTCATTTTTATTTATAACGTATCGCACCACTACTTTAGCTTTTAATAGGTTGAAATATATTATATTTGTTTTGTTTCTCTAATACATATAGTGTATTATTAAGTAAATATTTTTACAGAAACAGATTATCAGGCAATATTAATATTGATTATAAAAGAACTCTTTCAAAATAACTGTAATTTAAACAAATAACGAAATTTATAGTTTAAATATGTAATAGATATAATATTTGTTTTGAAACAGTATGTTTTCCCCAAAATTAATGAAGAGTTAATGCACAATATTTGAGGCGGGCTGGATATAATGTCCTTAGTTTAAAGATGGATAGTCCTACTAACATCACGCTTACTTGGGCACCCGGCAGAAAATGTAAAAAGATTAAGACCGTGACTTTTGGTTAAGATTCAGGCAGCAAGATCAATGCAAAGCATAAACAAATGGATGGGTGGCAAAAAGACTGACTTAAAATAGGGGAGCTAGTAATAAGAGGCTTAAAAAGAGACTGGTAGGTACGTAGGGAAATCGTTAGAAAAATCGTGTCGTTAGAAAAATTGTTTCTAAAGTATAGAAATATTTATAAAATTTAAATGTAATAAATACATACATTAGTAAGTTTGAAAAAATTGCTGATTTTTTTAATGATTAGTTTGCGTATAAATATGTGAGCATGACGTACGAGGTGATAAAAACCAATCAATATGTGAGAATGATAAAAACCGATTGAGAGTGTTGAAAATCAAAATGTTTTTGACACTAAACTTTCTTACAAGTTTTTTTTTTTTAAATAAATTTAAAAGGCGGTGACTTGAAACAGGGCTTACTTTGTAAATAAGATAATATTCAATATGTCTATTTTTAATAATTGTGCATAAATTAGTTTTCAATCGAAGCTTAATTTAAAACCAATTTTAACGGCTTCAATAGATTTTACTTTTACCATAATTGATCGTATCAGTAGTCTTACTTATTTTCTTCTCTTTTAAAAAGTATTCATAAGTTTAGTAAAAACAATTTAAACGGATTTGAATTCATGTGTAATTTATAAATTGCATAAAAAATAAATTAAACTAAATTAATTAGTTTACATACTATATACTTTAAAGTTTACGTAAGTACAAAATTCTCATATTGCACAGAACTATTTAGTTAAATTTATATTCAAATTTCTTAACTTTACAGTTCTTACATTAAAACAAAATTAGGACAATGTTACTTTATATGTATTAATTGAGTTTATTTACTTTAATAATATTTATTTCATTCGATTTATGACTAAGTTATATTATTACAAGATAAATTACCTTCTGTAAAAAAACCAAAATTTTTCTATGCTTCTGGGTTCCAGCTCTTGATAACGAGTCTGATGGAGCTCTTGAATGCATTGAATGTGTCCTTTTTGTGCGTATCTTTTATTAATTTTTAATAGTTTCATATTTATTCACGTGACCTACCTTTCCACAGCACTTGGATATATATAATGATTGAAACAATCAGAATACGGTAAATGTACCGTTTATCTGCTTCTGTAAGAACAACACGAAGGTTGGTAATTTTTACCGAAGAGCTTATGTAATGATTTTGGTAAATTTACCGAAACAATATGGTTTTATAATATTCAATAAAATTCATAAATGTAATAAATGTGGTAAAGTGCTGTAATTTTATTAGTATACTTTTCCGCGGGGCATGAAAACAATTTACTAATTTAAATTTAATTTTGAGTTGTGTTTTTTGTATTTAATGTGTGGTAATAAGAACTGTAATTTTGAAAACCAGAATTTCGGATAAGCAGTTATCATATGAACAGAGCAATTGCCAAATGAATTATTTAAATACCGTATATTTGAGTGTTTATTAAACTGGTTGTTTTTGTTAAAAATATTATTACTATAGAGTGCGGTAATTTTACCAGAATTTTTTCTCTTTGCATGGGTCACCAGTAAGGGCTACTGTAATTAAATAAACTTTTTAGTTAGTTTATTTTCCTCATATGTTTTTGAATTTTTGCATAAATTAAAAATTTTTTTCTCTGTAGTTTCCACTAGGTACTTCATATAAATTATTTCCTGTAGAATCTCATGTATTTTTCTAAATTAATTTTACAACATGCCGCACACTGAGCCCTAAAATCAGCCATTAAATAACTGAGTTATAAAATGAATTTAGAAATGAAATCAATAATTCATTATATAAATCATTAAAATACTGAATAAATCTTTATTTGAAACACTGAATTACTTAACTTAGTGAAGCAATCAAATAAAGCAATAATACAAAGCAATAAATCTCTGTCTCATCCTTTAATTTTAACTGAATAAAACTACTACATTTTTATTCACCAATTTCAATGTAATAAATTTTAAATGAAATAATTTGTTTTGAACGTTATATTGTATTTATATTTGTTATTTTCTGAAAATAAATATTTAGTTAAACCCTTCCAAATTAAATATCTACTTTTAAATTTTTACATGTTGCATTTACGCTCAATTTTAAATAAAATTCAAAGATAATGCTTTAATAAAAATAAAAATTTCTTTTATTGTGAATGAGATTACGAAAATGTTTTTTTCTTTTTTTAAACAAACAATAACCTAAAAAGAGAGAAAGCAGTCAAACATTTTATTAATCCATAAGAAACTCTAAGAAGTTATCATTTCAGAGAGAAAAATGAAATTAAAATAACAATTCTATCCTGTTAAGCTCTTTTCAGCTTTTAGTTCTTATTTCTTTAGAAGATAAAGAGTCTCTTTGAAAAGTTTGAAAAAAAATTATAAATATAATTCTTTTATTTGTTATTCCTTCGAAGGGCGTAAGATATTTTTTTTTAAAAATTTACTTTATATTTCCCATTTTATTTATAAAAAAAAAGACACGACTGAGAGCTTAAATTTTTCGCTAAATATAAGATTATAAGTAACAAAAACGACTTATTATAAAATATTCAATGAATATTTATATTTATGTCTTTCGTTAGCGTAGGATAATCGGTGAAACGGAAAACAAAAACTGAAATGACATTTGTTTTTCAGCTGATTGAACTATAATGTACTATAATGGTATTATTGAAATTTCAATGGCTACGATATTCTTATATCTATATGGTGGGTACCTCTAAGATATTCATATTCCTATCTAACACATAAACACCTAAGAGAGATACAGTGCACAGAATTAAAAATGACGTAACTGAATAATTGTAATCTATATTTGAGATTTTCACGTACTTTATTGGTTAGATCGAGGTTCTTTCATCTAACGTAATTGAGCCGTGGTGACTCAGGGGATAGAGCGTTCCCCTTCCAATGAGTTGAACCGGTTTCGAACACCAGCAATAGTTAGTCGATACGAATACCGTACCTGGCTAACAGTGATGGCATAAAATATCATCAATGATAGACGGTTCATAGGTTAGAGTCCTCTTGACGCTAGACTAACAGTGGGCGGTTTTCATGGTTTTCCTCTCCATGTAATGGAAATGCAGGTTAGTTCCATCGAAAAGGCCTCCATGAAGGCAAATTTCTCCCAATACTTGATCCAGGAGTTCAATTGTCTTTGAAATTTGATTTCTCGACCATTTTTGACTATTATTAAATGAAATAATGAAAAATAATAAATATTTACTAAAAGCTGTGTTTCATGAAATTATCATTGGATAAACGAATTTCAAAATCAGTTCGCTTAGAAGGTTCTCGATATATGGCGAAGTACTTAAAATAAAATAAAATTAACATTAAGGGGTCCAGACCTTGGATTGCTATCCCTACTTAACTGTGGGAACCTTATTTTCCAGATTGCTGCTACTCCCCATATTTTGAAGGTCAGAAATTTGAATATGTCGAAAAAAAGGTATGTTTATTCAGAGAAATTGCGCTTTTGTGTATGATTTCTTAACTTAATATATTACCTGGGCAAATTAATTAGCATACTTGACGTCAATGCCTTGAACTGTTATGATTAAGTTCATGAACGGGAAAATCTGATCATTATATTAAAAGTTATTCGGGTGGTCCATTTTTTACTTTCAGCTCTGTACACCTACTTTGGAGCGGATTAGTTCAAAAGTGAGGATTTGTAAAAGCATACTACATACGTACAAACATTCTGCTTTATACACCAAAGAGCCATTACATTATGACCACCCTCCATCTATAACAATGGGCTCGCCCAGGTTTTCGAGGTTTCTCGCCCAGGAACAATGTTTTCATGGGGCACATTAGGACCCATAATCCTCATAGAACAGTCCCTGACGTCTGTAAGCTACTTGAACATAGTTGCAAACCAGGTTCATTCATTCATGGCAACAGTTCTTCCTGCTTAGGATGGTGTTTACCAACAGGATAATGCACCATGTCATAAAGGTCGAATCGTCGAGGAACATTCCATTGACTTTCAAGTCATGTCTTGGCCCCCAAATTCTCCTGAGCTTAATCCA